TAGACATCCCCAAGTCAGCATGTGCAGAGCTGAACATATTATACTCTCACTGCCAAACTTATTCCAGGCTTCTCCATCTTGGGACATGGAACAACCATCTACCATCTTCCCAGTTGCTCAAGACAGAAACCAGCATTGGCCTTGCCATCCCCCTCCATTCCACCGTTCTCAGGTCCATTCATTAGCTACTCTTGTCCATTCTACCTGTGAATTACCTTGCAAATCTGATCACATTCCAGTTCCGCTGCCAACATCTTGGTGGCTACATTCACTTCTCACCTAAGCCATGCGATACCTCCAAACTGGTCTTCCTGATTCCATTTTCAACCTTCTTCCTACAACGGCAAAACAGATTGGAAATATTATTCCCCTTTCTCATTCCCAGCAGTGGCTTCCCATTTCACTTACAATAAATCTGAATTCCTTCCTATGGCCAAACAAACCCAGCAAACCTGACAACGCAGACTCACATGGAGCCTCTCTCCCCCTGGCATGCCATGTTCTATCCATTCCAGATTTTCCTCTGCTCCTGCAACTCTTGAAGCTCTTTCCCACACCAGGACCCTTGCACATGCTGCTCCACTGGCCCGGAATGTTCTACACCTGCTCTTCCATGCTTCTTTCTTATCCCTTAGGACTCGGCTTAGATGTGGCCCTCTCAGAATGGCCTTCCTTGACAGCCTTCCATGAATTAAGTCCCTCCCTTGCATTCTGACACAGAGATTCCTGTTTGTTTCCCTTCACAGCAGGTATCATGATTGTTATCTATATGTTTCCAAACCCTCACCCATTAGACAGTAAGGTCTACACGGGCAGGGACCACACTTTTTTACCTTTTAATCCTGAGCACCTCACACAACTCCTGGCATGTGGTGGGCACTTAATGATTATTGCATGAGAGAATGAATGAAGGTTCCACCTCTTGCTCTAGTAGCTTCTTCATGACCTTGACTGACCCCAGGGTTCCTCTTCCTTCGGGGCAGAGTGGGGTGTGCTGGGGCCGAGGGACATTGGAGGCAGAAAGCAAGCCTTTAGCAACTCTGCCCAGCGTCTGTGGCAGACACTATTTGTCTTGACACTTTGGAGTGTTGCTTCGTACAGAGAGTTATAATGAGGACTATTCTAGAGAGTTCGCTGGTATCTTGAAATATCTATGGGACTTTTGGTTGTTATGTCTGATATATGTGGTTTAATAATGCCTGAGTTATGTCCAAAGAGCTGCATAGAGTCTCAGTAATTCCATACACTTTGTTTCAGGAGAGTAACGTTTGTTCCGATGTGTGCTGTCACTCTCGGCCTCCCACTTTCCTCTGTCACCACCGTTGTCAGATGCTAATTAGGAAACTGTGTATTCATGTAGCCAAAGCGAGTTCAAAAAGCCATTGACTCAGAGAAGGAAGGTGGCAGAGTCTGAAATTAAGAAGAGAAATGAAGAAAAGACCATGGAGGTAGCTGATGAGAGAGGGGTGATCAAGAGAATAAGGAGGAGAAATGGCTGAAAACAGAACAGCCTCTTTCTAGCCTGTGAAAGTCTGCGAAGGGCCGATGTCCCTCCTCCTCCTTATTGCTGGGCCAGCACCGGCCCTGGGGTGCTTGATACCACCCAAGTGAGGGTTCCTAGGGGTGGGCACAGAGGCCAGTAGTGGGGGTCATTAGTTATGTACGTGAAAAGTAAATCTGTGACTATGGAACTTCATAAATAGAAATAGAACAAGTTATATGGTGGCTGCCATGAAAGCTAAAATTTTAATAGTCCAGTAGTAACCAAGAGGCTTCTTATTTTGAGGGAAGAATAAGAAAATAAGCTTCATAAAGGCAGGGGAGATTTCAGAATTTCCCTTCCCTTAGCAGGAACTGATTTTTACCCGTGAAAATTCAGATTTGAAAACTAAAGCGCACACGCATGCACACAGAAAGCAAAACAAAACAAAAAACCCTAGTGCTTTTTTTTTTTTTTTTCTGAGTTTGGAAGCCAAAATATGCGGAGTTATTTCAGAGGCATGTTCTGGAGAACTCTCCTGGTACAAATTGGTTAGGAATAAAATCTTGTGTGTTTTTGGCATCTCTCTCCAAACATGTCTAGAAACTCCTAAAAGCCACACTTTATTGTCCTGTGGTGAGAAGGAATTTTGTGACCTTTTGAGAAATTTTGTTTTAGGTTTTCCAAAATAAAACCATGATAAGGAAGTGAGCCAAGTTTCTTGGCCATGGGAAGTTTGTTCCAACGCCCCAGGCTGCGTTCTCATCAGTATAGAGGTCCAGAGCAAGTGGACTTGTCACCAACTTGTCCTGCATGTAGGGGCCCAGATTTTACAATGACAGACTTGTTAGGGTGTCTGCCCACCCTCAGGGGTACGGAACAGACAGCAACGGCCTCTGGGGAGCAACTCCATGCTGACCTTCCCCCTGTGCCCAGGCTCCAGGGTCCACGTCCAAGAATGCCTTGAATAGGAGGTTGAACCTCAAAGGTCCCTGGGACTGGACAAGGAATGTAAGCCTCAACCTGCAAGGAAGGATGGGCAATTTGGGGACACAAGGAGCGAGCTCCTGCGTGCCCACTAACAGCGTTTCTGTCAAGTCTTAATAGTCTCTGCAACACTGGGCCACATCTTTCTTGAAATATCTCTCCCTTCCTTTCCCTCCCTCCAGACTTTCTGACCACTCCTGTCCAATTGTCTCTGCAAAATGCTGTTCATCTATGTATCATTTAAACCAGAAATTTTCAACTGGGATTGGCTGTGCTCTCCAGGGGACATTTGGCAATGTCTAGAGACAGTTCTGATTGTCACAACTGGGGGGGGGGCGGTGTGCTACTGGGTAGAAACCAAGGATGCTGCTAAACATCCTACAATGCACAGGACAGGACCCGGCACAGAGAATTTTCTATCTATTCTAAAATGTCAGTGGTGCAGAGGTTTAGAAACTCTGACTTAAGTGCCGTGGTTCTCCAGTGTTTACTCCCGGATCCTTTAATATTCTTCTCACTCTCACACTGTCTGTGGGTCATCTCAGCTACTGCCACTTAACAAAGTCATATCGACACTCTGATGGCTCCCAATCCTCTGTCTCCAGCTACGTTTATCTCTGAGTGCCAAACTCATACATCTGCCATCCTACTGGACATCTTCAGCTTAATAGCCTAGGGACAGCCCTTTTGTTTTTGTTCTGTTTTGGTTTGGCTTCTCAGCAAAAAGACAAAAAAAAAAATTTGTAATTGGAAAAGTAATCTGTGATATGTAGTTATCTGTTTTTAATAAAAGGGAATTAAAATTAACTTTTATTTTGAAATAACAAAACACAATTTAGTGGCACACTCTGGGAAAAACAGACACACTTGAAGTGCCATGAAAGCTGTTTAAGAGAAATCTTGAGTCTTTTAGGACAGAAAGATTTTGACAGAGTGAGCCTTGCAAAAGGAAAGTAGCCCTTTGAGTTAAGCAAGGACCCATTCTCTTTTCTTGTGGACCCCAAGGGCTCCACCCAACTGTCTAACACTTGCAGATAATGTGCTGCCCTGCGGTGGCACTGTAGGGTAGCAATAAATATAAGTTGAAATTTATCAATATTTCTTTGAGTGCAAAGATCGTGTCTTCTATACCTTTCAATTGCCTAGAGTGCTCCAACAGAACTCCCTCTCCTGAGATATTTGATGGACATTGAATAAAGGCATTTCCTAGGAAAACTTCTTGTCTTTTACTTTTGGGCCCTGCCATTAGCCATTCTCTTCTCCACTGGCAAGACCCCCACAGTGAGCACCTATGCCCCCAACACACACACACACACACACACACACACACACACACACACACACACACACACAGTCAACCCTGAATCAGCTGATGACATGCATTTAGGGAAACCACCCGTGAGCAACCGTCATCATCACAGGGCAGTTGGTGACTCCCTTCAGATACCCTGCGGATTAGCAAGGGAAGGCGGAGGCAGGCAGGAGAAAGTGTGGAAAGTGGTCCCTCATGGGACTGGTCACACGGAGTGATTGGAAATTTGCCCCAGAGCTTGTGCTTACACGGTGCTTTCCAGAATTATAGCTACCTCCCAGGGACAGCAGCTGCTTGCACACCCAGAGCCCTTCACTGACAGCCATGCGACACTGGGAAGGAGGGGCAGGTGCCCTGAGACACCGTGCCTCCAAGGCAGGAGTAGATCCTCCGGCTTCCGAGCCTTCCTCTTTCTTAAAAAGAACAGTCTCCTTCCTCCAACTTGGAGCAGCTTTCTAGAGAGCTGCCCATCTGTCTCTGTCTTGAAAACAAGTCTCCCTGTGCACCATGTGGAGCCAGGCACAGAGGCATGGAGGAAGGGTGGGTTACAGATGGAGGAAGGGGAGGACATGAAGAGAAGATATCAAGTACACCTGGGGGCAGAGTGCTTCCACCTGACCCAATCTCAGAGTGGAGGGCCGCAGAGCAGAAAGTCCCAACATGAACCAAGGACAGCCCCTGCTGGCTACGTACCTTCCACCTTCCTGCAGGGCTGCCGGCTCCGTGTGGCGGTGCCCCTTATTGAGCCTACAGTTTGGTTGCCATGGCGTGGGCACCCGCTGGCTGTTTCCAGGAGTCACGCTTGCTCACAGGCTTTCCTATAGCCCCCAACACCCATTTCCAGGATTTGGGGTGCCTTCCACAGCTTCGAGACGGGGTAAAGGTGAGCAGCTGGAAGTGGGATTGATTCTGCAACCCTAAAATCTAGGATGTAGCCCGACATGTGGCTGCTGTAGCCCATCGAAGCTGGTCTGGGCTCATTTCCAGGGCTATGAGAAGACCTCTTCCTTCTCTTCTGCCCCACTTTATTGTTCCGCTGCCTCATTCACTAATGCCGCCGATGTTAAGTGGCCAGAGTAGGTTAAGCACTGCGGTAGGCACTGGAGAGAACATGGTGACAGCCCTCAGCTTTGAGCTGCTTCCGTCTCTGGAAGACTTTGGCCAGCATTAGGCGAGCGCGCTAGTGTGATGTCATGACGGAAGTGAGGTCAGGGGCCTCCGGCCACACGAAGAGTGGGCACGGGCCAGAGCCTCGGGATTCCACGCTGACCCTTGCAAGGTGAGATGAAGGCCAAAAAGGACAAGCGAGGGGAGGATCAGCTGTGACCCAGGGAACGTGGTCTTCAGGTGGGAGTGCAGAGTAACTAGGGTGTGGGCACGGACCGCAGGCGGGACGGGTAACCAGATCACCAGGGCTTCTACAGGCCGTATTAAGGACTTGATCCTCCTGGGTAACAAGGAGATCAGCCAAAACATTTGTTAAGCAGAGGCTGAGAAAACAGGACATGAGAGCTTTGCCCTCAAAGGGTTTTTAATCTCATTGAGAATGAAAGAGAAAAAAAATACATGAAATCGATGGTGTAAACCAAATATCATTAAGCACTGAAGGGTCTAGTGAGAGCAAGGGAGCTCCAGGACGACAGGAGAGTGAGCATCTCTCGAGAAGGAGGTGGCACGTGGCTTCCAGAGATGCGGGAGGACATCCTTGCGGGGTTGTGGGGAGGGTCTCCTTGGTGAGACTTCTTATGTGCAATACAATGGTGTCAGCATTACCATTAACTCTTTTAATTTCTCCAAGCGTTTAGATCTCTGTGCCATTAACAGCAGGTAGCGTCTGCACGCCAGGCTTTAAACAAACAGTGAACTCCTGGCTGGTGTCTGATTCCCAAATGGAACAAAAACAAACAAAAACACCCGTGGGGAGAATGGTACTTCTGGGGTCCATCCACTGCTCTGATCACTGAAGACTATATATATATATAATCACATAATGTTCCCTCTGGACAGGCAGAACCGCCTTCACTCGATTGCATTTTATAATTTTGCCATCAGATGTTACCAGCTTATAGAAGCTAGAACGCTGAGCAGTTTGCTACGCGGGTGCCTTCGAGACCACTGCGCTGTGAGGCTCGTGCCCCTATGTGAAATGCAATGGTGGAAATTTCGTTTAGGACTAGTTGCTAGGGGGAAACTTCATTTCCCCCAAAATTAAATGTGTACATTCCATCTCTCTCTTTTTACTTTCCCTATCTGGACACATGTTGCTAACCTTGAGTCTCAACCACAGCAGCCCAGTAAGCCTTCTGGTTGGTGTATTTGCATTTCCCTGTTCTCCCGAGTCCTAATTTTCTTTTATATCTTCCTATGTTGGTGAAAGGCCTTTCCTAAGGTATCTCAAAGGTGTGTGGGGCTGGTTGGAAGAGAAAAAAAAAATTAAAGAACATTTAAGAAAATTAGAAAAGGGAAGGAAACAGATTGAAACAAAAGGATAAGGAGGAGACTGGTTTGAGTAGAAGGGAGGAAGCATGTTGATATGCTCTGGGAAATAAGAGATGAGATGAGAGAAGGAGTACAGATCATAGACAGAGGCAATAGGGAGCCACAGAAGGTTTTTGAGCAGGGGAGTAGCAACATAAAACTTGTTTTAGAAGGTTTGCCTGATTGCAAGTACCAAAATATGTACCTGATTGTATCTACCAAAATAGAGAAAAGTTAGGGAGGTGCTATTTGGGAAGAGGGAAGAATAAGAGGGAAGCATTTAGGGAGACAAGTGAATAAAGTTTGGATGGGGAGTAAAGGAATGAGCCCGAGTTTGTGGCAGATGTCTAGGGTGTTACTTTTGCCGGAGGGAGCTCAATAAGAAGAAGGGATTTGTAACTGTTGGAGGGGTGAGGAGAGAGAGGACAGGGACAGGAAGAGGCAGATACATTCCTGATTATAGGGTTTGAAGATCCCATATATTTCTTTTGTCTTACCCTTAAATGGATAAAGTCCCAATTGCCACTCCTCCCCCAGGCTGGATTCCTTCAAAGCCAACGAGCTTCCTGGTAGACAAACGATGCTTTGAGATGTTGCTTAAATGACCTACTAACCCAAAGGACAGCAGTGTAGCAGGTAAAAGATCAGTTGCAAATCCTCTTCAGAAGATTTTAAAAGTTACCATTTACCCATCTGTTCGGTTCACAGGGGAGCTCATCAACAACACTGTGCTTTTCTTCCTTGGCCCAAAGGAGCATTTGTTTCTCTTTCCAGGTCAGTAAGGACTATTCACTTTCCCCCCTAATGTTTTATTATGAAAATTTTCTAACACAAAGCAAGGTTGAAAGAATTTTATGGTGAAAACTGGGGTCACCCACCACTTAACTATTAATAGTTTACTCTTTGCTTCATCATAATCCTATCCACCTTTCCATCCATTAATTCACCTGGTTTTTGGTGCATTTCAGAGTAACTTGCAGACATTACTCCTCTTTGCCATGAGTAAGACTTGGTTTTTAACTTCTGTTTGCAGGCTGGGCAACCTGTGTGAGCCCACCTAGGTAGACAGTGGGCTCAAAGCGAAGCCTGTGGCTCTTTCTGTGGGTGGTTTATCTCCCCAATCCCATCCTCCCTGGGCGCTTTAACACGACTCTAATTACAGTGGTGTCTGGCCTGTGCACGTGAGTTCCTAGAAAGTGGAAAAGGGAATTTTAACAAATCCAATTCTCTTTAAAGATTTAGTGTTTGAGACTGGAAAGACTCCTGTAAGCAACATAGGTGGAAGAGTTTTTTAAAAAGTCTCAGAGAGAGGGAAGCTCTATACTGTGCGTACATTTCTGGATTTCCGTGCCAGATTTACTTAAAACAAAACTGTGTGTTTAACAGTGTAAGGGACATAGAGAATACAGATGGTCTCTGCTTTTGCATGTAAAATGTTCCCCCAAATGTGTCAAAGACCATCACCATTGTCCCTCCCTGCAGGGAGTCAGAGGCAGAAACGTCAGTGGGACAGTTGGAGAGAAGTGAGATAAATGGGTTTTAGCTGAAAAATGGATGGTATTATCAAGACCAGAGATTGCCTTGCTGGAATTTTCAAAACAACTATTACTGCGAGTCTTTACTGCATATAGTCTTGAGGCTTAAGGACCATGATCCAGCAGTATAATAACAGGCCTGGCTACAATGCCATTCTATTAAGTGTTGTTTTGCCTCCATTTCCATGTCTGTTCTATTTATGTTTAAGTTTTAATTGATATTTTGACCATATTTGTCCCTGAGGAGATTTTGCGAAGCCTTCCATTTTTTAAAAAAAAATAAAAAATGGCATATTTAATATATCATAAGCAAAAAAAAAAAAAATCTCCCTTAATGTACCCAGAAATGAGATCTTGTTAGCACACTAAAACTTTATTCAAAAATACCTCTCCATCAGCACCACAAACAAACCAGAGGCATTGTCTTAGAGACGTGAGGAAAGGACCTCAGCTTGGGAAGAGCCAGTATCAGAAACTCAGATTCCATGTTGCCTGAACAGAAGAAAGGAGGAGAGCGCTGAGGCACAGATGAAGTTGGCAATACGATGTGAGCTCATTGACACCTGAAAGCAAAAGCCTCTTGGTGACAGATCTGAGAGGACAGGAGCTGCCTGTTGATCTTGGTCAACTCAACACGAAGATAAATAGCAGGGAAGTAAAATAAAGGAAAGGAGCAGAGATCATACATCGTAAATATTATCATCTGATTTTTAAAATGTGTAGGTCTCTGAACTTCTTTTAGGGGAGAAAATGAAATGCTTGCAGCCCCCCCAGGAAAAGTAGGGTAAGGGCGTGTCCAGCCTGGCCTCGTGGATTCAGCGTTGGGAGCTTCGCCACAGCAATGAAGACCTGTCAGCTCAGGGCTGTCTCAGTGGCTAAGGCTTGCGTCTCTCTCCAGAGTCAGGCAAAATGCATCCCATTGCAAATTTAGCCTCGTATGCAGGGAAATTGTTAGCAGCAGCCACTTCTGCTCAAGTCATTATCATTATTTTCCATGTTGTCATTCACGCAACCTTGCAAAATTTTTCTATGGGTAAATTTTAGTAGTAATACTTATCTACACGGCTCTTTTGCCACCAGAGACGCTAAAGTGCAATCATTAAACTAATACTTACATCAGTATTTTGTGTTTGTCATTCTGTCTCCGAGATATTCAGATAAAAGTCGGCATTGCATGCAGGACAGGAAGGGGAGGTATAATTGAGTAGAAAAAGATGGCAGAAGAACAATGGTGTCCATATCGCCAGTGCATTTGGAAAGAGACACTGAAAGGAAAATCTACCAAAATGTTGACTTTAGTGACAAGAAAAGATAGCTTCACTACATCCCTTCTGTTTACACATGCTATTGTTTCAGCCCATGATGTTTTGTTTACTTTGGAAGGAAATATTTTACCCCCTCTGAGATAATTAATTTTTGTCAGCTTCACTGTTTATAAGGGAAACTGAGAAACTGTTAATTGAAATACAGAATGAGTCACTGTTTTCAGTAATTTTTGGCAGCATTCTAATTTGTGTCAATCCCAGCCTAATTATTAGATTTTTTTGGAAGCAGAAAGCATATTTGACTTTTCTCTTACTGAATTATTTTTTTCTTTCTTTGGAAATTTGTGCTGTCTGAAAAGGGTTATATGATTTATGTCAACACAAGGTGAAAGACCAGTACATTTGAGATACCAGGAGGTTTATTACGTCACGCTTGGCTCTTTGTACTAGCTCAGTATTTAAAAGGCTCACAGTATGCAGGTTTTCTCCTCTCCTCGTTCCTACCCCCAGCCCTGACTGGAAAATGTGCTTCTTGCACAGACCTTTTAGCGAGTACGAAGCCGAAGTACACGGCCCATCAGTAATGACATCGCTGAAGTACCTTTCCCAGAAGCCATCAGGGAGAATTCATTTGGAAATCCAATTGAATGTCACTTGCAAAGGGCAGGCTGAGCACTCATGCATTCCTGAGTTGTTTGTTGTAAAAGCATTAATCACCGTGCACTCATTTACTCCTAACGTGCACACACTGCATTATTCCACAGGAATCCCAAGCGATCGTTAGTGTAAAGGATGGGAGCTGCTGATCATGGGCAGGGTCAATAGAATCTGTCAGATCAATGGCCAATATAATGAGCCTGTAATGGTTTCGAGTAGAAGTTGGATCTTTCTGGCTGCCGCAGAGTGGCTGCTCGGGGCAGACAGCTCCACCTCCTGCCTGTAGAGGGGCCTCTGGATGAAGAGAACAGCCCTGGCAGTCATTCAGCGCCACCAGGGCCTTAGCCGGGCACGTGGGCACCAGCTGTGGGCTGGGGAGGGGCCACGGGATGGCCTCGGGGGCTCTGCTACCTCATGGCACAGCCTCTTGCGGACCACAGGCCAGAGTCCACCCAAGACCTGAGGCTGTGGCTACCCCAGCCCCGTGCCTTCGCCCCACCCTGGGCACACCAGTGACATGAAGGATGACAGTCACATTGATAATAATGACAACCGCAGCTAATGCTCACCGGCAGCTCTCCTGGGCCAAAGACTAAGCATGTAACGTGTACTTCCCTCCATCCCATTGCTGCACCCCCATGGGGTTATGTGCTAGTCACTGTCCCCATTTATACCTGGGCAAACTGAAGTTCAGAGAGATCCGGTGACCAGCCCGAGGTTAGATTCAAAGCTGCGTGCCCTGAAACACCGTGTTCTGTTATTGGAGGGAGAGACACAAAAGCTGCAGCCTGAAATCAGACCAAAGACAGGTGCAAGGTGTGACGGCGGGCCTGCGAGTCCTTCCATTTGTCTGTCTAGCCAGTGAGTATGTTCAGGGCCAACCTTAATCACATTACGTCAAAGCTACAGCTTGTCTGCTATGCTGTTCCTCCACGTTCTGTTACCAAAATGTGGGGCACCCAGGGCCCTTAAGATACCCAAGTTGCTCTGTGCCACCCTGCTGCGGCCTCAACCAGGGCACCCTGGGAGGCCCCTCCACCCAGCGATGCCCTATACATTAGGCCTTCTCCTCCCATCCTTGTCCCCCCGAAACTCGTCACATTTCTCTCCCTCTGAGGGTGGTCGTCTTCTCCTGGCTGTGCCCTGGCTCGCTCAGCTGGGTGAGAGGAAGCCTCTGCCTTCCAAACGAGAGACTTACGTGACTGGCAGCCAGTGCCCTGGGCTCCAGCCCCGTCGCTAGGCATGGGGGCATGGTGACATCCCCAAGCTCCAGAGACAGCTGGAGCTGAGGTGCTGACACAGCTGCCTTGGGGCTCAGGAACAGGAGACTGTGGGTGCAAGAGGCAGCCGAGAGCTGAGGGGTGAAGGAGGAATGATGGCGGAACCATAAAAACACAAAATACTATAACAACACTGTTAGGTGTTACCGAAAAGCACAGAGGGTCGCAGAAGGGCTTTATAAACGTTCTCAGTCAATGAAAGGACCTTGCACACAGACCCCAGTGGCCCTTCCCGGGCCAGCTTCCGTGATGAAGAGGGGAGCTGGCCCCACCAGTCTTTGCTCCTGAAAATGCCACTATTCCTAAGGGTTTATTTCCTTGATTATATCATTTTTAAAATCTAGTTGGGAGGATTTGGGAGACCTGAGAAAACAGATGGTTCTAGGAGGGGTGATGCAGGGAAGGAGGGAAGCACACAGGGGTTTCAGAGGGAGGCCCGTGCACGCCCCTCACGCCCGCGGGCCTCAGCGGGACCAAGCTGGGTCCCAAGTGCAGAGATGAGGTAGGACGTGTTCTGTGGCCCCCCAGAGCTTATGAATATGCACCGTAAGTGCTAGACTACATGGCGCAGGATATAAATGCACTGGAATTGAGTGAGAGAAATGAGCAAGAGGAAAATTCAGAGACAGCAGCATGGAGGATTGCATTGGCTGCACAGAACACAGGGCTTTGAATACAGGGAGAGAAGGCAGTGCCCACGGGGCGAGGTCGCACGGGCAAGAGGGTGGCAGTGGGAGCGCGCACACTGAGTACAAAGGGCAGTGGAGGAACAGCCTTGTTCTAGTGCAAGGGGAGAGTGTGTGCATGTGTGTGTGTGTGTGTGTGCATGTGTGTGTGTGTGTGTTTGTGTGCACATGTGTGTGTGTGTGTTTTAGGGGAGGGGAGCAGTGAGCAATAAGCAGGACCAGAGAGGGTGATAGCACATTGCAAAGAGCTTCAGTAGCCAGACAGAGGAGATGGGGCCAGCATGGCAGGCAATAGGGAGCCACCGTAGGTCCTTGGGCATCCAAGCAACATGATCCAGGGCAAGCTTTGGGAAGTTTCACCTGGAAGTGTGTAAGGACTTGGAGGGTCGGAGGGGGAAGCCACCGTGCTGCTAGGACTTGCCATCTTTTCTCCAGCACACTTCCATACTGCCCTTCTCATTGGCCGGAGTCATCCTCAGGGCACGTGACTGTCCGTCAGAGAAGAATGGACTCTCCTTGTTGACTGCGGGCAGCCTTGCTTCCATTAGCAGTTAAGAATTGCCCAGAGAAAGTCAACGTAGGCTTGTCATTCAAGGCCCTGACAAGTGCATAATAATATTTTCCAGCAAAGTGTACTGTTCTGTCAGAGTCCCTTTATCTTGGTTTAATGGGGATTTGACTATCTTTACATCTCTAGGTAAGAAGAATTTCTATTGCTTGATTTTAATACTCAAGGAAACCTCCCATGCACAGGGACACATAGTTGTACCCACACACACACATAGAGCAAGGCACTGCTCCTCTCTCCCTCTCACGTAGAATTAGTCATTGCAAAGCTACACATCTTGCTTTCCAAAGAAAGTGTTGCTCTTTGGTTCCATTTGCAATTAAAATGTTTGAACGGCTGAATGGGCTAAATACATTCCATCTAAGAAGGCATCTGGCGAGTGGAGCGTGCTAGATCTGTCCACTCCCGTTGCCTGTGTCGTTGTGAGCTTATTTGCATCAACATCTGGCACCAGAGGCATTTGGCCAATTGCGTGAGCGATGATTTCATCACTCTGGTCTAGATTTCATCCTTCAACCACCTGCCGACACTCCCTCTCAGAAATGCCACCCAGTGGTCTGTAACCAAGGGAATGTGCTTGACCTTTTACCTGGTGACTTGGAAACCTCCTTTCCACTCGGCAGCCTTCTCACCCAGCACCATGGTTTCTCTGCTACTGAAAGAGGCATGCTGAGCACAGGACCCGCAGGCTGGAAGCTAATCAATGCTCCTTCTCTAGGTCACATCAGCCATTCTTGTGTGGAATCCCCCAGTCCCCATGCGGGGTGGGGAGTTTAATTCAGTAACAGTGCTCTGCCAGGGGTGGAGGCCAAGAGAAAGAGCCATTCCAAAGGACTTGGGCTCCAGTAGTGCCCAAGTGTTTCATGGACTCCACCAGCGTTTGTCTTAGAGCAAGTAAAGTGGTGCCCAGAACTTAGGTGCGGGCTCCTCCCTAGCTCTTCCTTCCTTTTGCAGTGTCTAGTCCCATCCTTCCGCACCCCTCTGTCCCCGAGTGCCCAAAGGCTTTCTTACTTCTCCTGTCTTGAAGAAAGCACTTGCCCAATAGTTCTACCCGAGACTTCAGTGCCCTACACTGTTCTCCAGCCCCTGGGGCCTCTTCTGCTCTTTAACAAAGGACACTTTTAGAGAACAAGGTTTGAGCTGGAGACCTACTGGTAGTTGATGTCTGGCGCGCTGTGTTGAGAAGGATCCTGAGGCCCTACCAAGAAAATGTGGTGTGATTATTAAGCAACATCTTTCAATAGCATGAGCAGGATCTATGCCATGTATTTGCTGTATCTGCCTTAACTCTAAGGAGTAAATGTCTAAAGACAGAGTATCTGGGACCTGGGGTAAGAGTATAGACACATTAAGATATTTTTTTCTGTTGTGTATGTTGAAGAGAAGCAAAGAAGAAGCTGGCTGATTATACACATGAATTGGTATGCTCTAGTTGTTTTTTTTTTTTTTCAGACTTTACTTCATACTTTCTTGCCAAGTATAATTTCTGGAGTTCATTTATAAGTTAGCACCTTTGGCATATTAATGCTTTCTACCTAAGGACTTGAGAGTTGATCATCAGTTTGCATATCTGACCCTGGTTCTTTTCCTCATTGGAGACCCAGAGGATAAAGAGCACCTAAGGCCACTGCTACTATTAGGGGAGACTGTCTAAGGACTTGAAGTAGGGGCCAGGTGCTTGGCTTATCAGTACCTGGGTGTGTGTTCCAGTGACGCAGGGAATTGGGGGTTGGAGAAGGTACAGCCAGGTGGGAATGGGTACGGGCCCATCCTGTGTCCATTCACTTATTTATCGGTGCCAGGCGGGGCACTGTGCTGTGATACCGAGGGTACAGCGATGGTCAAGAAGTCTGCTGCCCCCAGCGGCTGTCTGGGAAAGAGAGTGCTCACAGGCAGTGGGAGGCAGGCGGTGAGCCCGTAGCACAGGTAGGGATGTTCAGGACTGGCTTCGTATGGGGAAGAGTCATTTAAGCTGTGACCCAAAGCGTGAGTAGGAATAAGTCAAGAGAGACATGGAAAAGACCTTCAGGCAGAGGGAAGAGCCTCTGCAAAGGGCTGGCAGCACTGAGGCTATAGCTGAGTTGGGGGACAGGGAAAAGCCAGGTCATAAATCCACTCCATGAGCTCAGACTTTTAAACCAAGTGTTTCTCTGTGTAAATGTTAAAGCAGAGGGGTGAGATGATATGGCTTATGTAAGAAATGTAATTAGAAAGATGATTCTGGCTGGAGTGTGGAAATTAGACTGAAAGGGAACAAGACAGGTGGGCCAATTGGTGGCATTTGTGGTAACTCGGGTGAGTCAATCTTAGGCAGTGATGACAATATCAATCAATCCACAAATAAAACCAGAGAGTGTGACCAGTGGTAAGTAACTTAGAGATCACCTAGCATTAGAAAACTGAAACCCCGGTGAGGTAGATGATGTGCCCAAGGTCACATGGTGGAGGTGGAGGTTGGGGGGAACAAAATGGGATGTGAACCAACTCAAAACAACGTCTTTTATTTCCAAATCCAGTTTTCTCTCCATGGTGCTCACAGGCCAGGTGTTTGTTCAGCTCCCAGTGTGTGTAAAGCCGCCGGGCTAAATGCCGGGTGGGTGGACATGCAAGAAAGCATCTCCCAGCCTCTGCACACTAAAATCCTGCCTGATACTGCTGCTCCCAGCCACATGGAAGTCATGGTAAGGGAGGGGGTGGAAGAAAGGGACAGGGACAGGGACCCACCAGCAGGAACGTGACGGGGTGGACCCAGTGCCCAGTGGGGAGCTGCCGTGGTTTGAGGTCTGGTTCTTGTTATCATTAATGGTCAGTACTAAATCATCACTTGGTTTATTAAACCTGACTTTTTCTAGAACAAATCCAATGCACACCCTTACATGAAGGCAGCATTTTATGTTGTCATATTGACGGAAGCTGCCCTATCTCTGTCCGTTCCCTGTTAGGGCAGCTCCGAGGCTCGGCTGCCAGCCGTCTCCACCCTCACACAGCTCCGTCGGGCCCACAGAAGGCCATCAACAAATTCCGCACACTGTGGCTATCCATGGAGATGTCTTAGGGCAGTGGCTCTGGGTCAGCTGTTAAGGTACCAATTTGGATGGTCACATGGGGAAATGGCATAGTAGGAATGAGGTAAAGAACGTGGGCTCGGGCCAGCGGGAGCGTGAGAAACAAACATGAGTCAGAAGCAAAGGCAACAGCTCTGAGCTAGAGAAGCATTTCACTGCCGAAACCATGTTACAATGACCTAAAAATAGCCACTGAGACCGTGGGGACTGCCTTACATGTGGTGCCTGCTTTTAGTTATTTTTCAGATTGCAAAATTGAAGGGCTGGCCCCTAAATAGGAAAATAAAGCTTTGCAAAGTAGTAATGACTGCAAATCTTTCATTTCCTTTGGAAAGCATTAGTCACCTATAACTATGGTAGCTCACTCACTCCTCCCTTCTCTCTCACCCCGAAACACATCACCTAGCTCTCTCTGAGGCAGTGGTGATGAGCAAAAAAATAGGAGTGTGCCTTCTGCTGGGTTTTTATTCATTTTCTTATTGAACAAATATTTCCCCCAACACAAGGGTGGTCCTCCTCTGAAAAGCAAAGCTGTATATGGCCAAGCCCCAGCCTGCAGGGGGTTTATACTTAATAAGCAGAGGTGAGCCATGCATGCGAATTATGAGAACATAAGATGGAAAGTGAAAAGATGTCATAAAATACACGCAGAGTCACGGGTGCAGAGAGAAGGAAGAGGTGGCCTCAGTCAAGCGGTGCAGAAAGGGTGTCGTGGGAGGTGTGCGTCGGGTCTGGGCCCTGAAGGAATGGCAGCATGGGAGCCGCAAAACCTGGGAGAAAGTGACCCACAGGTGCACAGTGCAAAGGCGGAGAGAGTGCAGAGCGTGCGAGATCAGTGGTCAGGAATTCTCTTTAGCGGGACCTATTGGTGAGGGGCTGATAGGAACAGCCCTGCGGCCACACTGGGGGACGCTTGCGGGTGGCACACTGGAATGGGTGGTGTCGTGTACCATAGCACAGACAATGGGAGCGTTCGTCGTTGCTGTTGTTTGTTTGTTTCTGTGGGGTGGAGATGAGAGTGAGAAGTGTTAGTAACTTGGCCAGAGAAGTATGCTTTACAAATTTGATCTTCACAATGGCACTTAAAATGGATTGGAGTGACAAGAGATGGGACACAAAATAAAACATTATAAAAATAAAAATTAGCCAGAGTATTAAGTTATCTTGTTTAATCATAGTCTTATTCTTCATATTTATTTTTCAGTTCTAGTGATATTCCACGCTCGGGTGTTTGGAGCACCCTTCTACCTGGCTGTAGGTGATCCAGTCTTCCAACACCTCCATCCCTAAGGAATTCCAGTAATCCACTGAGTGCTCATACCTTCCCCTGCCGGGCACTGCACAGCTCATGTTGCACACTGTTCTGAACATTGCTCTGCCACACAGATGGCAAAGCCACGATTCTACCCACCCTGGCCCAACATCTCCGCTTGGCACTGTGTTAAGGTTGAGCGGGCCATACGCACTGCTGATGCCAACACTGCCGTTGCCCATTAGCCCCCTCCATTTGTAGAGCTAGAACAATGCTACCTGCCACAGCCAGGGTCCCAGCTGGCCCGCAGTGCACCATCACCCTGCTCTCCGTAGACCAGAAACCTGCGGGTGCTGTGGGTGTCTCTGCTAGTGGGTAAGGTATTGCACATCCAGAACAAGTGTCCCACAGATATGCGGCTCTCACCTGGCCTTGGGGGAGATGTTTGTAATGTTTTTTCCCAATTGCAGTTTCTGTGAAGCAAGAAAGAAAATTATTTTCTTCTGTACTATACACGTTCAGGTCAGCAAAGCTTCTTGAGTTCCCAGGTGTAACAATTCCTTTAAATTGAGGCCCCATTTACAACCATGCTCATAAATCTTACCCTGAGAATGCATTAAAAATTGCCAAGGACTGGAAGAAGCTGCGTGGCAGGACCAGGCACCT